AAGTGAGGAAGGGGAAATTTTTCTTATGTGGGGGGTGACAGGATTGTTTTTGATAGAGGTGAGTATTGGTAAGGAAATGTGGAAATACAATTGGGGGTGGGCTCAAACATACATGTATAAGTATAGGTCTAAGGAGGGATCCCTATCATATGTTGCATTTCCCTGCGGGGAAAGGGCAATGTAAGGATGTCAAGGGGAATTGGGATAAATTTCGGCTAGACAGGGACTGCAAGGGAAATTGCAATCCCCTTCCTTGATAACTAGGACAATTCTATTGCAAACGTGATATTTATGGAAGGGATGGGGTTCATCTGTCTGGGGTTGGGGTGGTTGCATTAGCCAATTCGATTGAGAGGGCAATTGATGACTTGTTTATGACTTTAAACTGATAGATTATAGAAGTATTTGTGTTTGTGGGAAACAATCAGGCTGTAATATCTGCAGCTGGAAACAGCAGATATTACCAGGATACCTCAGGGATATGTTTAAAAGACAATATTCAAAATAAAGTTCCTAGTAAAGGCAAAGCAACTGATCAACAAACAATGGGAGATAGTAGAGGGGAACGAGTGACTAGCTTCCTCAAGGTTTGCTATACAAATAGTAGGAGTCTAGGAAATAAGAAAAATGAGCTAAGATTACTCGCAAGTACAGATAATATGGATATTATTGCTATAAATGAGACCTGGTTCAACTTGAAGGATAAAGAAATGCCTTCTGAATGCAGCATAAAGGGTTATAAACTATTCCATACTGAAAGGGTCAACAGGAAAGGTGGTGGACTGGCGATGTATGTCAGAGATAATTTAAATTGTTATGTTAGACATGATATTAGATTAGAAACATCGGACACAGAATCTGTTTGGCTAGTTTCTCGAGGGGTATGAAAAATTAATTTTGGGTGTGATATATAGGCCCCAAAACCTTGATAAGGAGTGCAGTAAGCTTCTATGGGACGAAATTCATAAGGTGTCTAGATATGAAAATGTTGTGTTAATGAGAGATTGTATCTTTAGACTCTCGAAATCGTAATGACACGATTGCAAACAAACCATACCACGGTTGGGGTTTGAACCCGCGGTAAGAGTCTCAAAACTCCAGATCGTCGCGTTACCCATGGGCCAGCTTACTTATTAAAACTAGATGGCCCAGTGGCTAACACGATGGTTTGGAGTTTTTAGACTCTCTTACTACGGGTTCAAACTCCACCCGTGGTATGGTTTGTTTTCAATCGTGTCATTACGATCATTACGATTGCCGAGGCAATTTGTAGTCATCTTGATAGGCATAAATTGATAAATGAATCTCAACACGGTTTTACAAAGGGGCGTTCCTGTCTTTAGAATTTGCTAATTTTTTTCGCTAAGGTGTTTGAAGAGGTAGATCATGTTAATGAATATGATATTGTGTATATGCACTTCAGTAAGGCTTCCGATAGAGTTCCACATCAGAGACTTCTGAGGAAACTTAAGGCACACGGAATAGGAGGAGAAATGTTCTCCTGGGTAGAGGCATGGCTGACAAATAGACAGCAAAGAGTTTGAATAAATGGGGAGAAATCAGAATGGGGGCACGTCACAAGCGGTGTTCCACAAGGGTCAGTGTTGGGCCCATTGTTGTTCACAATTTACATAAACGGCATTGATGAGGGAATAAATAGCAACATAAACAAATTTACTGATGACACCAAATTAAGCCATCCAATTCATTGTATTGAGGACACTAGAGCACTCCAGGATGATTTGAGTAGACTGATGCAGTGGTCGGAGAAGTGGCAGATGCAATTTAATATAGACAAATGCAAAGTTCTAAATGTTGGACAGAACAATAACCATGCCACTTATAAACTGAATAATGTAGAGCTTAATACTACTGATTGCGAAAAGGATTTAGAAGTTCTGGTTAGCAGTAATCTGAAGCCAGGACAACAGTGCATAAAAAAACCAACAGTGCATAAGTTTTCGCAATAAAGCTAACAATATCCTTGGTTTCATATCAAGAAGTGTTAATAATAGAAGTCCTCAGGTTGTTCTTCAACTCCATATATCCTAGGTTAGGCCTCATTTAGAATATGCTGCTCAGTTCTGGTCACAGTATTACAGAATGGATATAAATACTCTGGAAAACGTACAGAGGAGGATGACAAAGTTGATCCCATGTATCAGAAATCTTCCCTATGAGGAGAGACTAAGGGCCCTGAAATTGCACTCTCTAGAAAGCCGTAGAATTATGGGGGTATGGCTGAGGTGTATAAATGTAAAACAAATAATAATTTAAATTTCATTTTTTTTTTCATTTTAAACAAATACGCAATAACTACTGAACAATAATGTAAATAGCTTGCTGAAAATATCTAGGCAAGACAGGACTCGCAGCAATGGCTTTAAGTTGAAAAAGTTCATACCGGATGGACATAGGAAAGCACTGGTTTGGTAATTGAGTTGTGGATGAGTGGAACAAACTTCTGAGTACCGTCATAGAAGCTAAGACCTTGCGTAGTTTTAAAAACAGGTTGGATAAATACATGAGTGGGTGTGGGTGGGTATGAGTTGGACTTGACTAGCTTGGGCTACCAGGTTTGGTGCCGTGTTCCTTACTTAAGTGGAAGTGACCTGACTAGGTGGTCTTTGTTCTAGTCCGGGAGGTGGCATGGACCTGCTTCGCATGGGTCAGTAAGCCTGTTGCAGTGTTCCTTCTTATGTTCTTATGGAGTGACAATGTATCTCACCAGTGGTGTGAGAATGTTTTTCACCAGTGGTGTGAGAATGTTTTTCACTAGTGGTGTGAGAATGTTTCTCACTAGTGGTGTGAGAATGTTTCTCACTAGTGGTGTGAGAATGTTTTTCACCAGTGGTGTGAGAATGTTTCTCACTAGTGGTGTGAGAATGTTTTTCACCAGTGGTGTGAGAATGTTTTTCACCAGTGGTGTGAGAATGTTTTTCACCAGTTGTGTGAGAATGTTTCTCACTAGTGGTGTGAGAATGTTTCTCACTAGTGGTGTGAGGATGTTTCTCCCAGTTGTGTGAGAATGTTTCTCATCAATAGTGTGATAATGCTTGTCACCAGTGGTGTGAAAATCTTTCTCACCAGTAGTGTGTGAATGTTTCTCAACAATTGTGTGAGAATGTTTCTCAACAGTGGAGTAACAATGCTTATCACTAGTAGTGAGAGAATGTTTCTCACCACTAGTGTGAAAATGTTTCTCACCAGTAGTGTGAGAATGTTTCTCAACAGTGGTGTAACAATGTTTCTCACTAGTAGTGTGAGAATGTTTCTCTCCAGTAGTGTGAAAATGTTTCTCACCAGTAGTGTGAGAATGTTTCTCTCCAGTAGTGTGAGAATGTTTCTCACCAGTAGTGTGAAAATGTTTCTCACCAGTAGTGTGAGAATGTTTCTCTCCAGTAGTGTGAGAATGTTTCTCTCCAGTAGTGTGAGAATGTTTCTCTCCAGTAGTGTGAGAATGTTTCTCAACAGTGGTGTAACAATGTTTCTCACTAGTAGTGTGAGAATGTTTCTCTCCAGTAGTGTGAAAATGTTTCTCACCAGTAGTGTGAGAATGTTTCTCTCCAGTAGTGTGAGAATGTTTCTCTCCAGTAGTGTGAGAATGTTTCTCTCCAGTAGTGTGAGAATGTTTCTCAACAGTGGTGTAACAATGTGTTTCACTAGTAGTGTTAGAATGTTTCTCTCCAGTAGTTTGAGAATGTTTCTCACCAGTAGTGTGAGAATGTTTCTCAACAGTGGAGTAACAATGCTTATCACTAGTAGTGAGAGAATGTTTCTCACCACTAGTGTGAAAATGTTTCTCACCAGTAGTGTGAGAATGTTTCTCAACAGTGGTGTAACAATGTTTCTCACTAGTAGTGTGAGAATGTTTCTCTCCAGTAGTGTGAAAATGTTTCTCACCAGTAGTGTGAGAATGTTTCTCTCCAGTAGTGTGAGAATGTTTCTCTCCAGTAGTGTGAGAATGTTTCTCACCAGTAGTGTGAGAATGTTTCTCTCCAGTAGTGTGAGAATGTTTCTCAACAGTGGTGTAACAATGTTTTTCACTAGTAGTGTGAGAATGCATCTCTCCAGTAGTGTGAGAATGTTTCTCTCCAGTAATGTGAGAATGTTTCTCACCAGTAGTGTATGAATGTTCTTCACCAGTAGTGTGAGAATGTTTCTCAACAGTGGTGTGACAATGTTTCTCACTGGTAGTGTGAGAATGTTTCATACCAGTGGAGTGATAATGTCTGTCTCTAGGGTTGTGAAAATATTTCTCACTGGCAGTCTGGAAATGTTTCTCACCAGTCTTGTGAAAATGTTTCTCAATATTAGTTTTAGACTGTTTCTCACCAGTGGTGTGAGAATATTTCTTACCAAAGGTGTAATAATGTTTCTCACTAATAGTGTGAGAATGTTACCAGTGACGTGAGAATGTTTCTCAATAATAGTGTGAGAATGTTTCTCACTAGTGGTGTGAGAATGTGGTTGCCATAGAGGTTACAATGTTTCTTAACAATTGGTTTGGAAAGTTTCTCTTGGTCGTATGAAAATGTTTCTCAGTTTTGTGAGAATGTTTCTCAGTGGTGTGAGAATGTTTCTCAGTGGTGTGAGAATGTTTCTCATCGGTGGTGTAAGAATGTTTCTCATCAGTGATGTAAGAACGTTTCTCATCATTAGTCTGAGAAAACTTTATTAAATAAACAGTATGTTAGGTAAAAATGACTTAAAATAATTAAGAATACATTTTTTATGGCGTCGTTTTACTCTGAAGACTCGTAAAATTTGATGACGTTTTTGCAGAGCGATACGTCGCAATAATTTAAATCTCAATCTCCTTTTTTTTTCGTTTTAAACAAATACGCAATAACTACTGAACAATAATGCAGTATTTTGTTCATTCATGTGAGCGACACTGATCATTGTGTAGATTATCAGCAGTTTATCAATGGGTTAATTAAGAAAATATATTAAAAGTCTTTCTTACCACTGACTTTAATTTATACAAATATTTACAGGTGTTCCGTCATGTACTGCAGTATGAACTTGGTCAAATTAATAATCTCTCAACAACTAGCAAAGGTGTAGATAATAATATTGTATCCACCTTAAGAGGTGGTGTTAAAGGTCTCATAGTGACCTTACAAGGTGACACTCCCTGGATGGTCTGCTGGTCACCTGGTATGTCTGTGGAGATGCTAACTGAGCTCATGGTTCAGGCTGCTGGTGCCAAGTGTACCTTGACATGCAGCTTCCTCTACCAGGCTGGAGCTCAGTCCTCCTTATGTACCAAGTGTGGCATGACTCCTGTGCACGCTGCGCTGGAAGCTGGACACTGGGACCTTGCTGAGCACATAATCAAGGACATGGGAGGTTCTGTGTATATCCCGGACAACAGTGGTCAACTACCTACAAGTGTGATGAATACAAAGCTCCGCAAGACACTTGAGAAGGTCAGTGTTGCACAAGTCTTTATTCTTCACAAATACTGTGATGATAAACTCAGTCACTTGAAAAAGTACTTAATGTTCATCATTTATTCCAGGTCACGTTACAAAAAAAATGAACACAGCTAATAAAATTAGGTATCACCTATTATTGCACGATAAAAGGTAAAAAAATTCAAAATATGTTCAAGGTTTTATGCAATGAGAAATACGTATATGTCTCTCAGTGTTCATTCATATATATTTAACAGAATTTTTTTCTTGATTGGTCGTAAATGGATTGTGTGCAGCCTTAATTGCATTGGTTTAGAAAAAAATATTATGCAAAATATCATTATATCAAAATATGTTGATATAATGAATTAAAATTTAATAAAAATTGTAAGACATTAATATTTTGCTAAAAGTATTGTGTGAGTCAACTCTACTGTTGTGACAAAAACTCTCGGATGATTTTAAATAATCACGAATTTTGAAAACTTGTTCAATGAATAATATATATTTTAAGATATTTGGCTATAAAAATATTTTTTGTTTTTTTTCTGTTTCACTAAAGATAATAAAAATATTTTTTGCTGCATTTTTAACAAATTGACACTTTTCAGACCAGTTGTTTCGAAAGAAGGAAACTAAAAATGTTAGAGAAGAAGAATAAAAACATAATTAGTGAGGTACACACAGAGCTCTGCCAGACACTTGAGAAGGTCAGTGTTGCACAAGTCTTTAATCTCAACAAATACTGTGTTGCACAAGTCTTTAATCTCAACAAATACTGTGTTGCACAAGTCTTTAATCTCAACAAATACTGTGTTGCACAAGTCTTTAATCTCAAAAAAATACTGTTTGCACAAGTCTTTAATCTCAACAAATACTGTGTTGCACACGTCTTTAATCTCAACAAATACTGTGTTCCCACAAGTCTTTAATCTAAACAAATACTGTGTTGCACAAGTCCTTTAATCTCAACAAATACTGTGTTGCACACGTCTTTAATCTCAAAAAATTTACTGTGTTGCACAAGTTTTTAAATCTCAACAAATATGTGTTGCACACGTCTTTAATCTCAACAAATACTGTTTGCACAAGTCTTTAATCTCAACAAATACTGTGTTGCACAAGTCCTTTAATCTCAACAAATACTGTGTTGCACAAGTCTTTAATCTCAACAAATACTGTGTTGCACAAGTCTTTAATCTCAACAAATACTGTGTTGCACAAGTCTTTAATCTCAACAAATACTGTGTTGCACAAGTTTTTAAATCTAAAACAAATACTGTGTTGCACAAGTCTTTAATCTCAACAAATACTGTGTTGCACAAGTCTTTAATCTCAACAAATACTGTGATGATAAACTCAGTCACTTGAAAATATCCATAATGTTCAAGATTTATTCCAGGTCACATTACAATAAAATTCAACTCCGGTAATAAAATTTGGCATCAACTGTTACTGAAAAATAGTAGATAAAACTTTTCCAAATTATGTTCAAGGTTTTATACATAGAGAAGTGTTTCTCTCTTAGTGTTTATATACAGTTTATTTTCATATATATTTTAAAGTTTTTCTCGGTTGGTGGTAAACAAGTTGTGTACAGCATTAATGACGTTGGGTTGGTAAAACGATTTAAGTAAAATATCATTATATCAAAATATGTTCATATAATATATTAAAATTTAATGAAAATGTTAAAAAATTGTAAGAGAAATTTATATTTTGCCTTAAGAGTATTGCGTGTCAACTCAACTGATGTGACAAAAACTCTCGGATGATTTTAAATTTTCATAAATTTTAAAACATGTTCGGTGAGTAATACATATTTCAAAATATTGGTAATCATACATATTGTTTCTTCTGTTTCACTAAAGTTAATTAAAAATGTATATATTTTAATGTATTGACAATTTTCAGACCATTTATATCAAGGAAAGACACCAACTAGAAGACTTATTGGAGAAGACGAAATCCCCCAGTGATAAACAACTGGTGCAGGAGTTTTTGAAGATTCAGGAGCTTCTCTTCAACAAGACGAATCCTTTTACCCAATATGAGGAAACACTGGTGTTAAATATAGGATACCTAACACTCCTGGTGGCCTCAAGAAAGGGGCTACAACAACTTATTTACCTCCTGGTAAAGAGAGGTGGACTTGCTGTAGACACACTAGTGGATAATATTAGTGACACCACTGCTCTCCACGAGGCTGCCTCTCATGGAAAGTCTAGCTGTGTTCTCCTTCTTTTAAANCCCTTGGCCCCAAACCCTTGAAACCTGACAGATTTTAATCAAACACCTTCCCACTTGTCTGCAATGTTCGGCCATCACAATGTTTATAAACTTTTAGAAATATATCATACTGAGAATGAACCTTCTTGCAGGGCTGGTACTTCCCCACAAAATGTTCACAGTTCTTTCCTTAAGTACCTGAAAATGTACAATAAAAACAATCAGTCTACAAACATTAAAATTGAACATCAGAATAACTCACGGGAAGTTACTATGAATCTTCTCAAACAAAATGATTTAAACCAAATAGTAGAAGACGTAGAAAAAGTGACTGTTGATTATGCCACAGGTGAAGCACTAGAAGTTAAAGATGCAGTAATGAAAGAACTTCAGAATATTATAAAAAATATTCCAGATAAAACTTACAAAGGAGATCTCATATTGCTTGGAAGTTCTGCAGATTCCACAAGGTTGTATTGTCCTGATGAGTACGATGTAAATATTGTTCTCAACAATTTTTCAAGCATCGAATTTATCATTATAGAGCAAACACAGGAGGAGGCCTTTGCCAGTGGACACAAATTAAGAATGAAACCAAAACACAGTCATTTCGGCGGTAGCAATTTTGTAAACAAGTTTTATGAGTGTGTAAAGGACTGTCTCAAAAGTTATACTTTAGGAGACACAAGATTAAGTCTGGTGCCACCTGGTCTGACCAGGACACAGGTGGGTGTGGCACTGTCACTGGCTTGGCAGGGAGATAAATACCCGCTGCTCTTGATTGGCATTGACTTAGTGCCAGTGGTGGCTGTGCCTTGGCTCAAGAAAATAAGCAGACCTTTCCTTACACCAGAGACATCAAAAGAGATCCACCTCAGCAACACTGAAGATGGATCCTGGAGATGTAGCTTTTCAGCCACTGAGGTGGAGGTGTTACAACACCTGGAAACACAAGGGAAAGCAAAAATGTTTCTCACTGCCAAGAGTCTCCTCTCTTGCATGAAGCCCGAAAACCCTTTGGGTGCCGTGATGTAAAGAATAATTTTTGCTGGTGGGACTCCCGTTATTGGGAAAATTCCAATTCCCGCTGGGTTTGCCTTAAAAATTTTATTCTTAAGGTTCTAGAGAAGAAGCGAAATAACGAGGAAGAGTATCAAGGAAAAGACTTTTTGACATTGGTGAAGTGTGTTTTCCAAGAAATGTTAGGAGATGGGTTTATCCAACAACTGGTGCTCATAGTCTTGTTCCAGCCAAAGTTAATGCTTTTCTTTGTGGAGAGTGAAAAACCCA